CAGCTATCAGTAAGCAAGTTTCCAGACGCTGCATAAATTTTCCGCATAAACTCACCTGTCAAATTTTGACCAATCAGAACATAAAAATTGGACGTAGAGCGTGATCAACGCGTGACAGTGAGAAAAGTCAAAAGCGATTGCTTTTCCTGCATGGAAATGTAAAAGCCGGTTGAATTTTCGTGTCCGAGGTCAGTTCGAAATCAACATTTTAAAAGCGTGGCTCATGAAACACGACTTATTTCATATGCATTTAAAAAAAATTGAACTTGGGCCTGCGATCATTTGAAAAGTAGCAACTTGTCAGCGGATACCTTCAAAGAATTACTCGAACTCAGAGGATCGATACCTGAGCCCGCGATACGGTCAGGCGATACTGGTCAGCAGAAACACTATTTTGACAGCTGTCAATTAATCAAAACATGGATGTACAATATTAGGTTGCAAGCTCCCAAACTAGCTAGTAAGTGTGAGATTAAACATTGGTATGCCTGTGGTGCGGACGGAGGGAAGGTCGGGTGGTCGGTGTACGGTCACGTGATTGCCGAATTTTCTACGATGGATAGATTTTCTATAAAGCTATGGGGCTTCGAATTGAGCCCGTGATCAAATAAAATATCAGCGCAAAGCTTTAAACACCTCAATGGATAGAAAAATGAGCCCGCGATCTACTCAGGTGATGATGGTCAGCGTATACTCTAGTTTGACAGCTGTCAATTAACCTTCATTAGAATGGCGAATATTCGAATTAACAGACATGTAGTGGAAAATGCCAGATCGTGTACCTGAGCGCACCTGAGCCCACGTTATTAGTTTTCTGATAGTGGTCTGCACATATCCCATTTTGACAGCTGTCAATTGACCTTAATTTGGCTTGCTAATGTAACTTTAAACGACTGTCAGCCAACTGACAGCCTTGCCCGGCGTAGTTTCGTTTTTATGTTGAATTGGTAGGTGTGACATATTATATTAGCTTATATATAGGGCAAACGACTGGTCTTTTATCTGAGCCCGCGAGACGGTCATGTGATAATTGTCAGCGGATGTCTGATTTTGACAGCTGTCAATCTAATGGTACTCATACGGATGGCTTACATAACTAAGAGGCTAGTCAAGTTGTGCAAGATCTATTGTGACATTTGACATCGGCTTACATGAAGTGTGTGTACGGGTGGGCGTACGCTACGTCATAACCAAATTTTCTCGGATGGATAGTTTACCAAATTTTCTTACCCATGGTGCTCCGCTGCGCGCGCGGGAGCTCCGCTATAAAGTATAATATATGTGTGTTGAAGCCACAAATGTAATAATTGACCACAAATGTAATGAAGCCCTTAAATGTAATACAAATTGGTAAAAAAATACACTGATTAAATTAAAACCTTCAAATGCTATCAAAACCGTGTTTCTCGGATGGGCGCCACCCTCAGTAAAAGTCGGACACAAATAAGCGCCGCGGTGCTCTTTCGAAAAAACAAAATATTTCATTTTTTTTTTCGAAATGGAACCGCCCAGTTCGTAACAGTCGCACATAAAAGAAGGAAAACAAATAAGGTTTGCGGCGCTATTTCGTAAAAACTTTATTTTCTACTGCATTCAACCCATTTAATCCAATTAACTCTGTTAATTCGAAAGACTGCCGTGGCGCGTATTGCTAAGGTTGTTTGAGGGCGGCGCTTATATTGTATTTTTCGAAAGAGCGCCGCGGTGCTTTGTGTTTCCACTTAAAATCGAGTATATATGGTTTTCATAGCATTAAGGTCGTTTAATTACATTAGTGATCAATTCTTAATTACATTTGTAGTGAATTATAGCCAAATTCGTTGTATCGCGCTGCGCGTTTTGCAAACTTCGAAGGAATTTTGGGTTTTTCTGTGCCGTCAATCATCTTAGCGGACCTCTTAGGAAACAAATGTTTACTTGTGATTGATGCATTTCCATCCACTTTGTTTGTTTCTTTGTTTCAAGGTTCGCTGCTTGTGATCGCCCTGTTTCGCATTGTTTCAGGCAGCGATCGACTAGTTTTCTCGGTAACATACGCTGCTATTAATTTTCGGCCGCCATGTTGGTGCCTCTCAGAGGTGTAACAACTTGGCGTCACCATACAAAAGCTTTATAAAATTAGATTAAATATATCTCCGAATATCTCGCATGTGAAAAATTGCACCGACTTGAAGCACATCGAGATCCTTTGTATATTGAACGTCTTTCATTTCCCAGATTCTGGACTTAATCTATTGAACGGTTTTTGTTTTTATTTTCGAAGGCGTGACAGTGAAAAACAGCTATACGTACTTCTAGTACAAAAGGCGAACATGACTTTCTAAATGTTGTAGCTAAAGCGATTTTTCCTCATCACTGTCCACTTAATAATCATAGGATTGCTGTCAGTTATTTGGTTGACTTGTGTACGTTTCCTCATTGCCGGAACTTACACTGTACCTGAAATCTCCAGCCTGAAGTGACACCGTTTTACTCCAAAATCAAAGAAATATAGGTTTGGACTCAATGAAGGTATGCTGCCAGTGACCTCGAACAACAGTGTAGCTTATTGGTTCCTTTCTCTTTACAGTATTAAATTCCACAGGGGAAAAGTATCAACCAGAGTCTTATCGTTGTCCTTAGATAGATACTTTAGTATTCCAGGAATAAACACACGCCATCTAATACTACATGTAAGTACCTTTAAACCATAATGAGCACAGGGCTGACTAAAAATGTAAACATATTATCCCGACGATATAATTGTGCAGCTTTCATAAACTGCGAATAAATTTACCTGCTGGGCACTCTATGCATTTGATGGTTTCAGCAGAAGCATTAACGTACGTCCCAAGTTCACATGGAAGTAATTTATAACGTCCACCACTTTCATTGGCAAATCCATATCGTTTAAAAGCCGCTTTTATTTGATTTCTAGCCCGATAATCTTTTCCAGAAATGACGATATCAAAAATGAAGTTATATTCATAATCATCCTGTCCTAATGTCCTAATGTAAAAACAAAAATTATGAAAAGAAAAATCAATCACCAACTAAGAGCTAATAATAGAGAAAAAAACTGCACATATTCAGATTTCTGATATCTTTGTTGTTGTAATGATGAATTCACTCACAGATAAATTGCGCAGTTACGTTCGTCATCCCTGAATTTCATAATCCCAATTTCTCCTTCATTAAAACTTCTATTGAAAAAAGCGATAGAAAGATGATAGGAGTCATAATCAAATAAGAACTAAAATAGCAGATCCTTCTTTCAGGAATAACGTTGCACTCAAGCTCGCATGACAATAGCCCGGCCGCAACAGATCAGACGCCGATAAAACAGCCGTCTTTTTGTCAGTTTCAGTCAAAGACATTATATATTCTAATATGCAACTACATTACATGCACCACAGACCATACTTACATATCAATCGTAAGGTTGTCAATGCCGTAAAAAGATCGGAGACTGACAGTCTTTATTTCTGTTCGTATCATATGTCTTAAACAAAAACAGGAAGAAACAATATATGATTATTGTCCATCATCGAATTTTCAAGGTTTTGATTTTTAACGTCGCATGTGTCTGTTATGTATTCTTTTTTTTTTCTGATCAAAAAGTTTGGAATTTTAAATTGTGGGCGGAACCCGAACTCAATCTAATGGAAAATAGTTCAAGTCCAAATAAGAGAAGAAGAAGAAGAAGAACCGGCAAAAAAAGTGCGACTCAGAGTCTACAAGCTTTGTATTATATTTTCCTACAAGAAGAACAGAGATATTTTCATCTCGCTTTGAGGTCAAGAAAGTAATATTATAGAGCAATGTCTAGCTACTAAGTGTAAAGTCCATAGGAACCCTTTAGTTTTTTCTTAAGTACAGGTTTTACTATAGCCTGGTCTACACCAATACTAGCAATATTTAGCAACAGTAGCTGGAAAAATGGAAAATAACAAAACAAAACAAAAACGAAAGTATAAAAGCAGGACTACTGACCTACAACTGTATTCTACAAAGTTTTAGTTTTGAGCGATTTCATTGTTATTACCAAACTTTATCTTTGACACCTGCTCGTTCCTAAAATGCTTTCCGCTTTTGTTAATTTACTCTCCGCATTTTTTTCCGTAGTCCTGTTCTTTAGATTATTTTCCTTATTTGTTGCCTATTTATTGGATCATTTTTTCCCTGTTTATCATGAAAGAAGGGAAGGGATCTCTACCTCCTCCACCTGACCTTGAACACACGTAAAAGTGAATAAACTCAGAATCATCCCTGTAGTGTATTAGGACCCAGATTCCCCCTCAGTAGTGCATGGGACGCCTCACTGTAGTTGTTAAGGACTACGAGTCGGCAAGGCGGAATAGAATTAATCGTTAAAGGTTCAATCCGTTGTAATCCTTCGTTATTTACCAACTAGTTTGGTCACAACAATCCCCACCAATCACGTGATTTGTAGTAGATGTGCGCGTGACCTTTATGATCGATGGCGTCAGTAAAACTTATGACATTATTCAGGACAAAAAAAAACACGTAAATGCGAACATATCAAGAGAATCTATGTTGCACACAAATAAAGCAAGTATACATCGAAATTAATGTACATCGGTTGAACAAAACTTTCGAGTTGTTTACCTAAATTATGAAGGAAAATTTAAAGTTAAGGCAACCGCTTATTCCAGAATTTTTTAAAAAGGGTTTCTGAAGGGGGGGGAGGGGGGGTGGGAAGGGTACCCAATCCCAGTTCCCAGCCTGACTTTAGTCCAAATCCCAGTTACCAAATCTGTAATCCCATTTCCAGTGCTCTCTTGCTAACTGATGCGCATCATGAAGTAAAAAGGCTGATTGTTTTGGATTATGAACCTTCATTCACCTGGATTGAACAAAATTTCTTATCTTGCTGGTGAACACTCTTCCTCTTCCAACCCTTGTTGACATCACCATATTAAAACCTCTTCTGTCTTCTGCACAATCCTCATCCAAATCACTGTCTTCACTTTCTTATTTTCTGCTGCTGCTGTAATCATTACGTTGAGAACCTCCGCGGGTAGCCTACGCATCAAGAGTTTCCGCCCAAGGTCTTCGAGAAAGTTGGGACGAAAGCATAACAAAGAAGGGGGAGGGGAAAAGCAAACGCTTGTCCCGAAACTCAACAATTCCGAAAAATGTATACGCAGCTTCTGATTGGTGCGGTGCTGGTTGTGTTGATTAGAGAGTGATTAATATATCAATTAAACCAGGTATGTTTCGTTCACCTGTGTCTCAGATAAAAGTGTTTGGACTATTATTTATTTGAATCGTTTTTTTGCCAAAATTTAACAAATCTGAGCTGAAGGAAGGCCTCGCTAGCATCGTTGTTATTTCCCCATAATACGTACAAGCCAGGTGTAACACTTCCAAAATATAAATCGGGCACCATTTTGATCTCTGTCACACGCAAACGTGCGTATGTCATTCCCATTGTCCTAGCGTCTTCTCGTTTTTCAATATGGTGACCTCAGAAAACAAAAAGACCCTGGGGACAAGCCACAACAGCTAATTGGGTGGCGGGGAGGCACTGGATGCGAATGCGAAAAAATTGACATGATCCTATGTGTCTACTGAGGTCTACGTGTACCTATTATTTCTTTTACTTAAAAAAAAAATAGGCACACTTGAGCAGTTGTGTCATATAATAAAGTCGAAGATGGTGAAAGGGTAGAAATCCCATTTCCCTTTTAGAAATGGTTTATGCCTTTCCCAGTGGTTAAATCCCAGCTCCAGTGCAGTAAATCCCATTTTCCCAGTACATAAAAAGGCGAATCCCAGTTCCCATTTTACACCTTCAAGACTCTCTATAGATATATCAGAAAATGGGGACTTATTTCAGACATCAAACATTAAAAAACAGAACCCAGTAGAAGAAGTGGATAGTAAGACATTGCTTTTACTTTAGTGTATCAGCTGCTTACATTACAGGGTCATTTCTTGGAATTGTGAATGCATGTGATCCAATAGTCTCCATGGGATTACCTGAAAGCATTCTGAAAAACAAGGAAGAAACAAGTCGACAACAAAAAAATGATATCATGTAAAGGAAAGACACGGGCGAGCAAAAATAACCCTTTACTTAAATTACCACGTTTCTTAGGTTTACACTTCTATTTGCTTGGCGAGCAAAATTCTCCGCGAATCTTTAAAAATAACTTGATTCAAATGGGGGGAAATATTCACATCCTTTGAATTTGATCGATATCGGAGAAATTGTAAGAAAAAGAAACTTGTTCAATAATGTTTCATTGTTTGCCTTGTAAAAAAAACCCCACATACCCTTGTAATTTACAATGGACAGGAGCCGTCAGGATGTCAGAAGGGAAACTATAACTTATTTTGAAAGGAAGGGTGATTTATTACAACAATGTAAACAGACTTTCGACTGTTTTCCATAAGTTTGAAGTTACAACCAAAAAACTCCAACTCAGACTCCTTTATGGCGAACAAATGTACACTATTCAGCCACCATCTCCTCAGTAGTGCTAGTTTGAGTATCTTTATTTCAAGTACTGACTACACAGAAAGTTGTGTTTCACCATATGCAATATTCTCAGGCCTAGCGTTATTTGTTCCTAACTTATTACATGAAGATGATAATTAAGTGGGACCATAATTACATATGCTTTGAAACTATCATTTACATTGCTTAATCGCTGTCAACACGCGAAATATTTCAGAACCTTATCCTGTTACTACCGGTAGCATCACACATTGGATGAATAGTCCAGTTTCGAATTCGCCACTGCCCCTGAATAGAAGCAAGGAACTCTAACTCTCGCAATCGTTTAATCTACAAAGGATATAACCCATCACGGCAGATGTAAGAAGAAGGCTCTTCACAAATACCGGCGAGAAGGTGCCTGAATTTGCGCTTAAAACAATAGACACAGTTGTACACAGGTCTTCTGACTTTTTTATTATTATAATTATTTGTCATTATTATTATCATTATTATTTTATTATTGCTATAATAATAATAATAATAATAATAATTATTATTATTATTATTATTATTATTATAATCATCAGCTTCACTCTCGCGCTTGAGGTGCGCGAAGAGGAGCACCACCGGTAAGAAAATTGTACTATCTATGCATCCAAGAAATCTTATTTCCGAGAAAATCGTCCGTACGTACGTCCACCCCTTCATGTAAGAAAGGGGTAAATTTCGCATGTCAAGTACTCGCGCGTTTCTGTGGTAAATTGCATGGCCACCCTGACTTTTAGGAAGAGAAAAGAAACAACAACAACGAAGCCGAGTCCCCCATGAGTCTTTCTTTGGACTAAATTTTAATGTCTACCTTGATGATGATAACAGAGCAAGAGCGAGAGATAAACAAAGGAAGCCATTTTCGTTGGAAGAAAAACATGAAAATTTTATTGGGACAGTAAGAAAATGAGAAATGCTAGCGGCCACCAAGGTGAAAATGAGCAGCAGTGAAAAAAAAAATGTAAAAAGGAACACATGCGACATTTCCATAAAACGTGTAATTAGAAAGTTTCTGGAAGTTTCACGTTGTAGTCATGCAAAAACAACGGCAAAGAAAAAAAATGCAAAAAGGAACACATGCGACATTTCCATAAAACGTGTAATTAGAAAGTTTCTGGAAGTTTCACGTTGTAGTCATGCAAAAACAACGGCAAAGAAATGTACAAAAAACTGTGCTTCAAGTGCAGAGTACGAATAACTCGTAGTTTATACACGTATAACTCGAACTTAGATAGATCCGACGAAATCCCCCTCTAACTCAAACTATGTCCCATTTCCCTTCGATATGATCCCACCTTTCAGTCATTTTACTCAGTTACCTCGAACTCGTAAACATCGAAACTCGTACCCGCAACTTTCGACTCTGTTTTTCTTCCAACATGTTTAAATGCTCAAAATTGGTGTAAAAATCGAAGGTTTATAAAATAGATAAACCTTGGCTTGCTGTTTTTTTGGAGGATCGAGAGACAATCCTAAATATTTCACATTTGCCCTTAAAGCTTCCTTTCTCAGCCAGTTATTTATTTTTCGGACCACCTCTGATAGTCTATAAGCCACAGGCATTATCTTCCGATATAAAAGCCACTGGGAGGAGCTTATTAACTGGTTATCATTGGGACACCTAAGTGTGTGCATTTCCGAAATTGGTTTCGGTAATTCCTATACAGACTGTGCACCCTAGCCTTTTAGGAGGAGCCACCCACAATGTGAGCAACGTACCTAAACGGACATGTTAGTAAGGAAAAAGAAACTAAAACAAGTAAATGTAATACGTGAAATAACGAGCTAAACGCACTTTTCAATCTAACAAATAAAAAAGCCTCGACTGTGCTCTGTTGTGTTGTAAAGCACGCAGGAAGCGGCTAGAGCACGAAAGAGGTAAAGGTGGAAACACGAGAGGTAGTCGAGATCCCCCCTACTTCTTGATTAAAAGAACCGAGCACAGTCAAGGTTTCTTTATTTTTTATGATAACGCATTACTTTCAGCTGGATAGGAATATTTTCTGGCGCTGCCAGTTCGCTTGGGTGACCTGGGCCTGGGAAACTCGTCCCTTGGAGAAAGGCGCGAATATGCTTCGTCTGTCAAAGTAACAAAGCCTCTTGTTGAACAAATTGTATCTCAGTCACATCAGTTACGTGAAGATTCCCTCACAAAACTAGCACAACAGGAACTAATAAGTGAAAGATCAAAGGAACTTGAAGACAGGGCAGAGCGTATTAAGGAGAGGGCACTAAGAAAGACTCAGCGAGCATTAGATCTGGCGACAAAAAAGGGATCATCAGCATGGCTTACAGTGCTTCCCTTCCAGGATTTGGGCTTTAACCTGAATAAGAGGGAATTCCGTGATGCTGTTAAACTACGCTACGACTGCCAGTGGAAGATATCCCCTCCATGCACATGTGCTTGTGCGGAGGCCTTTACCGTTGATCACTCTATCATTTGCAAACTAGGAGGTTTTATTACTCAACGCCACAACGAGCTAAGAGATCTCGAAGCTGACTTTCTGAGTATGGTGTGTAACGATGTGGAGATCAAGCCAGTACTTCAAGACATCTCCGGCGAACATTTAAACAGAGGATCTAACAAAGCTCAGGATGCGAGGTTAGATATCCACGCGCGTGGTTTCTGGGAGCGACATCGATCAGCATTCTTCGATGTGTGGGTCTGTCACCCTAATGCTGTATTGTATAGGGACCTAGAGCCACAACTAATTTATCGTATGCATGAGAATGAGAAAAAGCGTCTCTACTCAAAGAGAGTCCTGCACATCGAGCATGGAACATTTACACTTTTGGTCTTCACCACAACTGGCGGAATGGGAAAGGAGTGCTTTATGTATCATGGCCGTTTAGCGAAGCTGATTGCCATCAAAAAAGGGGAGCACTATGCCAAAACCATCTCATGGATCAGAACCAGAACCTCATTCGCACTCTTGAGATCTGCGTTGGTTTGTCTTAGAGGCTCTAGGACAAGAAGAGTGCCATATGACATTAAGAATGTTGATATTGACGTCGAAGTTGTTGAAGGAGCCATTCAATCGCACTATTGAAGTGTTTCCTTACTTTTAAATGGCAAATATTCGTCATTAACACATTGTGAACGCTGTTTAATTTTCCTCTTTTTTCAGTGATTTGTTTTTAGTGATTATCTTAGTAAGAAAGCAATTGACCTTGAAAATAGTTTTTCTTGTTTTATTCGAAATGAATTGTTTTAATTGAATGAAATGTTCTCAATTTGAATAATTTTTGTTTAATGAAATGAATTTTTTCTAATCAAAACTAAGTGTTTTTTTTAAACGAAAGGAATTGTAAATAGTGTTTTGACGAAATAGTTTTTTTTCAAGTGAATTAATTGTAAATAGGATTTTAATAGTTAGTATTGTTATCAATAAAATGTGTTCGAGTTAATTATTACTTTCTAATTTCCGAAACCGTGAAACTTTATTTTTAAAGCGAAAAAGTGTCCACTCTTATAAAACGCTCTTAAACTAGTCAATCACAATCCTTTTCAGAATGGGCCAAATGGTCTAACTGGGTGAATAACACAAAAGCTGTCGAAGCTGTCAAGGCATCAAAGCTATCACAAAGTTAAACAAGCGAAATATTCTGTCAAATTCAATGCGGAAAAATTCTACTTTTTTACGTCCAAAGTCATTTTCAAGGTAAAAAGTGCTTTTTAAATCCGGCCGAATTGCGACTCATGAAAACATGGACGTCATTAACATGACAAATTGAGAACAAACTGCTTTAGCTTCGTCTCGAAAAGTGTCCAAAAACTGAAAATGAAAGTAAAAATTCTTTGCAATTTGCCGACGTCTTCGCAAAAGTGATGCTGCAGTCTCGCGATCGTGTTTTGAGCTAATGTTATGAATGAACAATATCAAAACAATAGACAGAGAAGTTATTTCATGAAAATATTTATTCAAAAACTAAGAAGTTAATTCTTAAAAGCAATAAAATCGAATGAGCACATGGTAAAATTCAACAGAAAGTCCATCTCAAATCGGGATGCATTTCAGGGGCACCCAACGAGAATATAGTTCAAAACCACTTAAACATAGCATTGTTAAACGTATTTTAGTATTTAAACAGTAAATATAGGCATATTTTTATCCCCTAAAAAATTTTCATCTGTTCGGATTTCGTAGCTGAAAGTCTAGTGATCCGAAAATTAGAGGGATCAAAACTCACCTTTTCGAAACTTTCAGCCAGAAAAGAGGCTCCCGAAAATTCTAGGTGACCTTTTTAGGGTAAAAATCCGTTAAAAATGGGCAATTATACCATTATTTAGATGTTCGAAAATCCTAGGAGAGGCAGTCAAGCAAGAAATTTTACAACAAATGTTCCGAAAATTCTAGATCTCAAATCGTCTTCCGAACAGATATTTTCCGAAAATTGAAGTTGGGTGCGCCTTGCATTTTGTAATTCTTTTTCTTTTTCGTGGATGACAAAATTTATAGAACGTTTGTGAATCAAATATACCTACATATACAATTTGTAAAACGTAATTTTCTTGACCATAGAGTGAAAAAACCTTCGCTGCGCCGTGAAGAAAACATCGTTGAATTTATCGAAGGACGATTTCGTAACCAACAGCTTTGAATTACTTAGTCCACATATAGAAAACTGAGCATTCAACTGAACTTTCCCTTTCCATTTGTTTCTTTTAACGATGAAGTTTTAAAATGTGAAACTTTGGTTTTGAAAACCACCGTATGGTGTGATTCACAGATTGCTCGATACTCTCATAAAATCCTTTTGTTTGTTTTCAAACAGGAAAAATTCGAAAAACGCTCTGCCTAAGAAATTACAAGAAAATGATGAACTTGTAATTCAAACACTCAACAGCGCTATAAATTCAATTGCAAACTAAGGGCGCTCTTAACTTGCCGACTGGAGGGGTCTGAAAATCAAGAGGCCCTTTGTCGAAATTTTTCGGCAAAAACCTTGCATACTACATACGAGAAGGCTGATCTGGCTGGGCAGTGCAGAATCCTTTTTGTGAGTGGACTGCTATAGGGGGGGGGGCAGTTTTGACCAACAGTAATAAAACGTGGTAAGTTTAACCTTAATGAACTTTATTCTAACAAAAGATACTTATAGTTTGGTGGATTTCTTTGCAGTAATAAATTGTCTAAAGTAAATAGTTATCAATGTATTAACAGGTGCGTCGCCTTTATCTCAGGCTAAATCTATATGTTATATGATTCAGTACGGGTTTTTTTATTTTTGTCCTAAGTCCACGCGCTAGCGCTATGTAAAGAATTTTTGTATTGGATCTGGGAGGGGGATGTTTGGTGACTAACACCGGTGGCGGATCCAGTGGAGGGGCCCGGGGGGCCCGGCCCCCACCCCCTTATTTTTAGACCAAAATGAGGCCTAAAGGCCAAAAAAAATTGACCGGACCCCCCCTTATCTCAGGGTCTGGATGACCGCCCCCCCCCGTTATCTGAAGGTCTGGATCCGCCACTGAATACTTAGTAAGAAACGGAGTGTCCTCATGTCTTTTTCAGCTGTCTTAAATGTCGTAGTAAATAAATAAAATATTCGCCTATATAGTTGTCGCGCAATTCTTGATATCAGTCAAACAATTTATGCAATACTTACGTGAAAAAGAATCTTACTCTAAAAAGGTGGCAAACTTATTTATTCCTTTTATGTTCACGATAAGGGCCTCAATGTTTCCTTGCAAGGTTAAAATTAGTAGGAATGTTGCTGATACAATCAAAGCAAACAAGGCTAATTAACCTAGTGATGCACGACACTTTTTACGGCTTTGAGTGATTTTCTAACAATCCGTAGGATTTCGTGACTCCGTATTTAGGGTTACATGTACCACGAAACGTAGTGCTGTTCTCGAACACAGATGGCTCGAATTTTCTGGAAACACCATTCTGTCGGAGTCATTTTGTTTCGTTGAGCTATAATAACTGCCCAAGTACGGTTTGTATTCGATTTTGGGAAAGTTCATAACCATTTTTCATCTTCAGTGGCTGCCTGATAGGCAACCTTAAGCGTGACAGTAGCCAAGAGTCCACTTTCTCAAAAAAGCGAGTAAGGAGATATACTTTGTTTGCGAATTTGGCTTGTTGCTCTTGAATCTGGAAAAATCACCACTGAAAATCACACAAATTCGAACTTTACATGGCAGGTCAGAGTGGCTGTACATAGAGCATGCAATGCAGTCGTGCATGATTTTGAAAATCGAGGCAAGGCCAGGATGCACTATAACAAAAGGCTGCTGCAGCTCGGCCCGGGAAACGAATAAGAACAAAAAAGTAACTTTTAAGCTACAACAAGGACTGAATTGTACTGTGGATGTCGAATTTGGGTTTGCAACGATGATTTCTGTAAAACAACCTGAAGGCAAAAAAAACGCGTATTGTGTCGTATTTTATGACGTTTAAATCGGTCACTTTTGTTTTTGTACAAATTGACAAGGTAATAGTTTGCAAGAAAGCAGACTTTTTTGTGTTTATTGGACATTCCAATTTGAAGGACATTCTGTTTTAACTATACATGTAAGTATATAAACGCAAGATTTGCTTTTAGGCCCTTGGATACCGTAAAATTCCGAAAATATGCCCCTCAATGAAAAAGCCTCTCCAAATATAAGCCCCCTAAACACGTAACGCAAAAAACCCTCCGTTAAATCGTCTCTCCAAATATAAGCCCCCTGGGGACTTGTACTTGGAAAATTGCCCTCAAATATATAGTAAAACAAAGCAAAAATGGTAGATTTATTCCCAGCTATAAGGCTAGCCCCGGGGCTTATTTTCGGAATTTTACGGTATCTATATAAGTAGTTCTTACCTTAATCGATAGCAACACTCTAAAAACTCAACTAATTAACTATTGTTTTTAGTTAACAATAGTCAGTTAATACATACATAAATTTAAGTTTGTTTTGATTCTTGAATGTTTCATCAGGGATTCTCGTTAAGCTGTTTTTTGGAAGCAAACTAAAAAAGAAGGAGAACTTAGTTTTTACATGATTAATGACAAGTTAAGTAATTAGTAAGTTAAAAACAGATATGCACACTAGAAAGGCGCCAACAAGATGACTGATGCTCATGATCTAATTCTTACATACATTGTTTTAAGACTTTTCATATTCTCGAAGGCCTTTTCAGGGATTTCCTTGATTCGGTTTTCGCCAAGAAATCTGAAACAAAAATATAATAGAACTTACATGTGTGTCATTTCTTCAATATTTTATCAAATTCACATGGCGCAGAATGAGTGGACATCATTAATTATTCATCACCGCCGAAGCGCCAAATTCGAATGCACGAGCGCTTTGAATAAGCTCCAAATAAAAGCAGAATGGGCCATTTTTGGTCCACCAGCGTTGATAAAACTCCTTGGCGCGACTTCGTTAGCTCCAAAATGACAGAACCACGGACGGAATATCAAAAATGAAGGATTTATGTACGGTTTAAGCACCAAATGTAAATTTTACGTAGCAGAAGGACTATCCCTCTGCACTTGAAAATTGCTAAAAAGAAGCCATTTTTTGTATGGAAGCTGACTTTGGGCGCGACTTTCCGGAAACCAGTAGAAA